TTTCTTCATTCTTATTCCATCGTTAATCAGTTTTATTTTATCTCTAAACAAGTTTTTTTTATCAGTTCTATTTCATTTCCTACCAGCTCTATTGTATCTCTTATTATTTCTATTTTATCTCTTTTCAGTTCTAGATCTATTTTATCTCCTTTCATTTCTAATTTTATATATATTAACAGTTCAGTTTTATCTCTTATTAGCCCTAATTTATCTCTTATCAGCTCTTATGCTGTACTATGTTATCTGGTATCTGTTATCAGATTATTTTATCTCTTATTAGTTCAAGCATCAGATGAATTAGATGCTGAAGAAAAGCGCCTCCTGGAAATATTAGAGGAAGGACTAGAGCAGGTACTTATTTTTAAGTTATGTTAGAATTTGTAACTGCTTTTATTTAATCATAATCATTATACATTGACATAAATTACCACGGTTCAATGAAGTCTGGTTGCAACCCGATTCTGTAAATATAAAGCTATTTGTACCTATTTTTAGGAATAGATGATATGGGATATTTATATATGTTGTTGGAATGATTGTTTTCAATCTTCATCATTGTTAGATGTATATAGGCAATATAATATCACATTTGAACAATCGTTATACACGTATATAAAAAATATTTAAAATGTAAATATAGAAATGTTTTAGTCAAAATTTAGACTGTCCTCACACAAACTAAATATCGAATTTGGAAGACATAATAATATAGAATCTACATAAGGAATGAACGAAAGTGCCCTTTATGTTACCAGAATGATATAAAAGTTCACTCTATCCTTAAATGTCCGATGAACTCTGAGTTAAGAAAACAATACATTCCAAGATACTATTATTGCAACACAAGTATGTTTAAATTCATTTCATTAATGCAAACTGGTCGAAAGAAAGAACTGAAGAAAATAGCTATATTCTGTGATGATAAAGCTTTAGAAATGAGGGATAGATTGTTATAATATACTGAAATGTACGTGAAAGCTCTCTCTCTGTCTTTTTTTTTTTTTTTTTTTTTTGGTTTCTGTTATTTTTTGTTTAGATTTTTTAAAATGGAATCCCGACAGGGACTTTGGATTCTTACATGTGAGGAAGCTATCCAGCTAGGTTACAGAACGTCTGTGATTCTACTCAGGTGCCCGTTCGTGCCTGAAAAAATGCACGGAGGGGCGCCTGAGATCTTCCTCCACCAGTAAAGCTGGACCAATGATCTATACTGTGTCGGTGTGACGTAAACAAACAAATGGAATAAAGTATCACTGTCACGCGTTGTATATTCATCATGTAAATTTGTAAAGTTATATGTAAATATGATAGTGTACATATATTTTTCTTTCTTTATTTATGTTTGTATCATCTCAAATGAAATATATAGTTGCGTGTCTGTTTTCCAACATATATATAACAAAATATAAATACCATGATGAAATGTTTTGACAAAAATAATCATTATAATCGAGTCTTTTGTTTTAATTTAATTTTGTTTGTTTTGTTTTTTGTCCATTTTGTGTTTTCCTTTACATTAAAACACAGTCTTAAATATACAGAAATGAATTCAATTATAATTATTGATCATGAATAATTAAAGGGAAGTAAATGCTAACATACATAAGTTATTCCCCTTCATTTGTCACAATCGCTATTTTTCATTATCTTTTGACAGGCATAACCGAATTCCTCAAAATTAAAGAAAATGTATTGTACCTTATTTTGATAATTTTAAGATTGATAATTAAGATAGACAAATTCTTGTGTAATATATACATGTATTCATATGCTTTCATTAAACATTCTCAACATTTCATAAACCACTATTTTGGAATTATATATGCTAATGCTATGAGTCATTAACATTTTTGTATCATATGTTGTATTTGTATATGTAATATGGTGATTAGCTTTGTATGCTTAAACGAAGAAATAAAAGTTGGGTTCTGTTATGTTCATAAAACACGAAGATTTACATGCTTTTTTATAAAATAATTTGATTCATAATTGTTTAGATAATTGCCCATAAAGTCTAAAACTGCGTTTTTCCTCAATTTTATGTACTTTATATCATACGTTCCAAAATAATAAACAATAAATAAATAAAATAAAATTAAAAAAAATAAAATGAATAAACACATTGACAATAATCATAGCTTAGTTCGCACTTTGGCAATTGGTACCCTTATAATGATTTTTTATGGAAGTCACAATACATCTTTGTTTACATTTTGCTGCCTTGATCACACCTTATTTCACATCCAGCACTAATTTTATTAAGGTGATACGCATCATACATGTTCTAAATCAATTATAACAAAGAGTCTAAACATGTATTTTTTGTCTTTTCTGAGGCTTCTATGTGCCTTTTAACGAGAATTTCGTAATTGGTTTAGGAAAAATGCGATTCCCTCAAAAATGTTTTTATGAGTTTAAATAAGATAGTTAGTTGAAAATATTACTCGCATATAACTCATGTCAAAAGTAAACCGTGGTTCCAATCTGATTTCCTCGGCTATTATGCTTTGTAATCTGCAGTATACGGGGAGAGTCGAGGTTTTATGATTGGCAAGATAAACTTTACATGCGATGTTGTAACAGTCGCCAATGTCAGTCACTGTTTCTACAGCAAAACTGCTGATGACTTCGTATTTGTTAATATATTTTAAAATGAATATTTTGAACAAAAATATATGAAAACAGAAACTGTTCAAATTAAACATAATTAAAATGAAATGAAATATTTAATGTTTGCAGACAAAGAGAGATTCGGATAATTGTTATTCGGATACGTGTGATCCTGATTGTCAGATGCAGTGTTGTCTAAATGATTGTGATAATATGGACTGCCTGGCAGAATGTTACGGGGATCAAGATAAGGTAATCCTGCTAGCTAATATCCTTGATACGTTTAACGGAAACTCCGATGATGGTTTTTGGACATAATGTGGAAATAATCTTTTGAGATTCATATCCCATTCGATGTATACAGATCACTTTTGTTTCAAAATTTCATATCATTTGCTCACTCTGTTTTTTCCAGAAGAATTATTTTGATTCAAAATAATAACCCATAATTTAAAAGCAATGCAACGCATTACACTTATATCTGGCTAAGAATAGCTCAACAATACGATTTTTAATATATTTCAGAGTATTATTTCCAAATCATCCTTTTATATTATATATTACTGCTTTAATTGCCCCAGCTGAGCTATGAAAGAATTTTCTTCTGTTTTTAGACCTCAGTAGAGTTCCTTTAAAGGCTCATTTTGCCCAGCAATGTTTGTATTTTTATTTCTTCTAAAAAAGCTTTTATTTTGTTGTGTCCTTTTATGGTTTCCAAAAAAATACACATTTTCCATTGAACCTCGGACATCTTTTGCTTCGGTTACTTTTTGGCAATTAGTACAGTTATAGTGATTTAGTATTTTGTATAAGTCAGTCAAAACACTACTTTTATTGCAAATAATTTTACATTCAGCGGTGCTTTATGCAGGTGATCTAAAATACACATTTGAGCCGCGTCACGACAAAACCAACATAATGGTTTTGCGACCAGCATGGATCCAGACCAGCCTGTGCATCCGCGCAGTCTGATCAGGATCCATGCTGTTCGCTTACCAACTCTATAACAAGTAGAGAAACTGATAGCGAACAGCATGGATCCTGATCAGACTGCGCGGATGCACAGGCTGGTCTGGATCCAATCTGGTCGCAAACCCATTATGTTGGTTTTGTCATGACACGGCTCATTTAATGTTACAAAACTCATGTTTGCCCTTTTAAAAGAAAGACTAATGTTTTAGTTTTTGAGGCCTAATGTGTCTTTAATAATATTTTACTCAGCTTACTGGTCAAAAAATTACATGATATCTTTAAAAGGCATATCTGATTTACTAAAGATTTTCTTAGGAATAAAATATTTTTTAATCGTACCTGATACATTTATTGCAGTAAGAAATTCACCAATTTTTCGTAGCTTTTTTCTTGCCTATTATAGGACGACGTAGCCTCTGCATAATGTCTATCGTTAAGTTTGAAAGTTGATTAAGAGGCCTTTTTTACCAGTTAGCATAACTTTTGTTTTCTTCATATGCGAAATTAATAAACATTTAAAGAAAATGTATACATTTTCTTATTTCTATTTTAATTGTAACCTTTTTTGTAATGAAATTTACTCTTTTTTTTCAGAGGATAGCTGCAGATAAGAAAGAACAAAGGTAAGTTTGCTAAACTATTGTTTTATATTATAAGCAGTTTCTCGCAATTGCTCCATGATTTAGACAGCAAAAATCTACAAAGTACAAAATAAGTATACAATCAAATGACCAATCTTGTAATTTTGTATTGTTTTAATTTTATTATGTATAATTATATCTATTGATGTATATATGTGTAATTGCTGGCGGAAACAAAATCTAGTCAATTAAACCAAGGTCATGCACATATATTGAAACTTTCCCTATATGATAAAATCAGTCGTTAAAATTATTTGTAAGTGCTCTAAAAACGTGACATGCTTCACCGAAATCTATTGCATAGAGAATCTCTGTTAATTGACGTAAATACAGTTTGTCAGAACCTACATGCCTGGAAGAGTTGCCTCCCATTAACCTTCGGATAAAGTCATAATTATATCTAAAGCAACTAGCTTTTTTGAAACTTTTTTGAAATGATGAATTATTTAATCCGCATTGAAGGATTGACAAGTGTATTCAAGACTTTTATTACTAATATGATAAATGGTTTAGTCGACAAGTCTAAAAACATTGGGTAAAAACATTTTATCAATTTATTTATAGGTAGTCTACGTTTTATTTTATTTCTCAGTGATGATGCCAGGAAGAGATTGTGGTTTTCTAGAAGGCGAAGGAGGAGAGTAATATTTCGTGGTTAAGAGTCAAACGAAAGATGTTCATAACTTCCAGAATAAAAACAATGTTACAGGCAGCCTTGTCCTAATTATCATGTTACATATTTCTTTTAAATTCATTAAAACATTTGTATCCGGTCATTTTTTTACTGCCTTCGCTTTCAGATCTGATGCTTATTTCATATTTAAATTATAGGTTAGTTGAACAAGGTCATTTTGCATGCCTCATTTGTTTAATAATGTATGTTTCAATATGTATTCCCTTAGTTTATTTCTTCTACTCATATTTTGTAGATTGTATGTTGCATTTATCAATATCTTCATTGTTTCACGGTTATATCTTAGTTTGACTCTTTCTTTCTTTCTTTTTTGGGTAAATAATAAAATCTTATTTCTTTGTAAACAATCATTGTAGTTGTCATTTTATCTTTTATTATCAAGGTTTCCAAACAAACAACGGATTTTGTCAATTCCCTCCTGGTAAAAATATGCATATTTTGTTCCACAGTGGATAAACGCATTAACTTCCTGTGTTCGGTAGAAATTGAACTAGTTAGATTAATAAAATGACAGTGATTACATTTTCCGACCGTCAATTTACCGAAAATCGCGAAGTATATCAAGGCTCCATTTTGCCTTTCGTCGTGATTATTAAGTACGTTAACGCCTTTAAAACTTTTTGTCATATTCGGTATACCTGAGACATTTACCAAACTACTAGTGTCTTGATTGGGTTTTACGTCACACCGGCACAGTATAGATCATATGGCGACGTTCCAGCTTTACTGGTGGAAGGATAGTCCAATAGATTAGACGTTACAGGCTTGTTATAGTTTTATGTTGGTCAAGCCTGACGTCTAATAGTTATTGGTCAAAAACGCGTAGCATTTTGAAAAATTAAAAAAATGTCTGTTGACTTGCCTTTTTAGCTTTATTCAAAAGCTTATCTTCTGTTCTTTCAATTGCATGGTCTATCATTAACAAAAAGTTTCAAACAATGTACTTATTAATTAAAAATAAAATATGAATATCAATCTATTTCGCTCATCGGCCATACTGGTTTAGTAAAGCGTTTTACAGATTGATTCCAATTTTTTGAACGGAAAAATATTTTCGACCACACTGACGGTGCATGGGCAATTATTTCGTTGAAAAAATATTCCGTTAGAAACTTCTGGAGTCATTTAAACGCTTGCATTTGAATTAGCCAATCAGATTTCGCGCACTGTATGGCGGCCATTTGTATATCTGCTGTACATGGAATTTAATTAAATGAGAGGATTTAATCATGACTTTTCGGGTGTGACAGTTCAATTATTTTGTTGAAAGGTATTTAATTTTTAGTTTTGTTCATAAATAGTTCAAAATTTATGTAAATACACGCTGTTTTAATTGTTAAAATGCATTAGATCTAAATCGATGTCTAATGTCAATTGTTTTGCTACACGATTTTGCAAAGATCTGTTAAGACCTAACGTAACATGGAAAATGAAAAATGTAAAATATCAGATTAATGAATGATAAACATGAAATAGGTTACGTATAGGTCTTATAATTAGGACTAGTGGAAGGATACATCGGATGCCGTTCCTTGCATTTTTTTTCAGGCACGAAAGGACACATGAGTAAAACTACCGGCGTTCCGTAAGCTAGCTTGCTCACTTGAAAGAATCCAAAGTCCTTGTCTGGTTTCGAACCCACACTAGTAGTGTTGTATAAAACTATAAGGAAGGAGGTAAAATAAGCCCCAGCTACTTTTAATGAGGTAACAAACAAATGTTGCTTGGATGCATCATTTCCGGTTTCGGCGTTACCTCGTAAAAATTGTCTCGGCCACATTTTATCTGTTAATATATGTGTAACATGTCACGAGTAGTTTTGCAAATGTCTATACACCGACTATCAAACAACATAATGTATTGTATCTAAAGATATCGACAAAACACACAAGTGTACATCAAGTTAGCCAGGCCGCCATTCGCACGAATAATCTTGAACAATAAACTCTTTCTTGGAAATGTTTTTGGCGAGGTTTGAGATATAATATCTCAGCAACCGAATGTGCAAAGTCGTTTCTTTCAATTTGGTGTAATTTGGTTGACAATAAAACATATTGTTTCATATACATTCCGTTGTGCTTGCTTCGGTAACAGAATTGCACAAATCTGCCTTAATTTTGCACAATTCTTGTTTTATTTCCCATTTGCTGCGTTACTGGATATTCAGATTGAGAATAGATTCAAAGACCTTGCATTGATATATCAAAATGTATGATAATACGAATATTATTTTACATCAACTGTGTTGTAAACATTTTCTCGAACCAACCGGTACACAACAATCAGTGTCAACTTCTTGCTCACAGAAACAACGGTCAACCCCTGCCTAGGTTTGAAACCACGAAGCCAGCAGTCCTTAGAATGATTACTATTCCGGCGCCAAAACCACTCGGCCACGCCACAAGTCTCTAAACATGTATGATTGGTAATCGACCCTTACACATTCGTTTAGTATCATTATTTTTCGTTAAGCTCTATTGAAACAATAGCTTATGGCTTATTTGAACTATTCATGACACGTACTTGTATTTGTGTCGTGTGAGTCGAGACTAAAGTAGATCTCAAACAAATGATCCCTGGGTTTATATGGCTGAGAGCCTTTGCCACAAGGACACAAATAACATACACAATGTGTTTGTTTGTTTGTTTGTTTGTTAAGAGATCAACGAAACATTTGTTGGATAGTTGTGGCTTAGTCTTCAGTAGGCACATTTTCAGTAAGTATTTCATATATTGATAAAAACAATAGAAATGTACCCTTTTGGAAGCCGTTACAAAATATTGCACAAAAGGAAAAAAGTTAATACTGTTCAAAGTGATTTTAATATGAACATGAATATTATGAATAATAATAAAAAAAGTTCTAGAACATATTATTATCTTGTATATACAAATATGTAATTATACATGTTCGTGAAGCCTGAAGTTATCATCCTAACAGCCTGAAGGTATGAGCGTCAATTTGGTAGGGTACTGTAGGTAGTTGGATATTCGAATAACCAACTACGCACTAGTAGTTGGTTATTCGTAATTTCCAACTATTTAATAGCCGGTATTTTGTAATTTAATCCAAAATCACCAGCATGAAACTTTCGAACGCATCATACATTTAAAGCACAGAATAAAAGAAGGAACCTAGTTAGTTCTTCGCGCGAATCCCTAACTATCTACCAGCAGGTGTTTGGTATTCGAACTCTGTTTCCCCTCAAAACAGAAAATACTTTTCCGGAATAAATGCAACAGATATAATTATTGCAAGATAGATACTTTGTTTGTTCTTCAACATTGATACACCCTGTCTTTCTATTCCCTCCAGTGGACTCAGTTGGTTATTCGCGCGAATACCAAACTACCGACTACAAACTGAAATTTCTAAACTTTAACGCTCCAATTAGTTTTAATTTAGCATGTAATTTTGTCTGTGATGAAAATGATATTCAATACGAGCGAATCAGTATTAAATGGAACAGTGACCTCCGTGATGATTTTAGGCGTAGTCTTATTTCTATGTTACCGAAAATGAATAGCATTACTGATAATACCGACTTCAGAAATAAATCAGAAATGAACAATTGTATTGAACAATTTACGAATATTATAAATGATGTTGCAGAACCACTGTTTCACAAACATTATGTTGTATATGATACGCCTCGCTTTAAAAATGCAAGTTGTAAAAAAGCGAAATGGTTCGATAATGAATGCTCTATTGCAAAGAATGAATATGTTAAAGCTGTAAATGTATACAATTTGTGTAAAAATGATGAAAATAGAGTATTGATGTGTAGTCATAAATCTGTTTATAAAAATATTGTTAAAGTTAAGAAACGAAGATATAAAATAGGTAAAATGAAAGAAATAGAGCGCCTGCGCCATTGTAAACCCGGAGATTTCTGGAAATTTTTTTCTAAGAAAAAGAATTCACATGAAAATAGCGGAATTAGTACTCAGGAATTTTATGAATACTTTTCTAAATTGAGTGATGATTTGCCTGATGTTTACAATGATAATGTTGAACAATTCTGTAGCAGTCACAATTTTGTAAATGAGGAATGTATTTTTGAAGAACTAGATTCTCCAATAACGGCTGTAGAAATTGAATACGTTATACGTCATTTGAAGAAATGTAAATCCTTTGCGGGTGATCAGCTTTTAAATGAATATTTTATTGAATCTTCAGATATACTGATGTCACATTTAGTAGAAATTTTTAACGGTATATTGGATAACGGTGTATTTCCAGATCAGTGGATGAATGGTATTATCGTTCCTTTATTTAAGAAAAATGACCCATGTGACGTAAAAAATTATAGAGGTATTACTTTAGTGAGTTGTTTTTCAAAGATATTTACAGGGGTTTTAAATAAAAGGATTTCTGATTGGGTTGAAAATAATAATGTTGTTAGTGATGCCCAGTTCGGTTTTCGTAAGAATCGTTCAACTATTGATGCAATATTTGTATTAAATGCTATTGTTAGTAAAATTTTAAATGAAAATGAAAGACTGCCATGTGCTTTTATCGATTTTAAAAAAGCATTCGATAGTGTATATCGTAATGGTCTGTGGTTTAAGCTTTATGATGTTGGACTCAGAGGCAAAACGTTAAATATTTTACGAAGTATGTACTCTAAGGTTAAAGTTCATGTCAGAGGTTGTAAAACATATTCAGATTATTTCGAATGTTCAATAGGATTAAAACAAGGGGAGGTAATGTCCCCTCTACTTTTTTCATTATTTTTAGAAGATTTAGAGTTATTTCTCCAAGATGATGTAAACTCAGGTATTAGTTTTGATGAAGTTGCCTTTATACTTATGTTATTTGCAGATGATATGGTCATCTTTGGGAAAAATACTTCTGACTTACAAAAGAATCTTGATTTATTATTCACGTATTGCAGTACTTGGGGATTAGAGGTTAATCCGGATAAAAGTAAAATTGTTGTTTTTAGAAAAATGGACTTATAACAATATGCATATAGAAGTGGTTTCTAACTTTAATTACCTTGGCACAGTTTTTAATTATACTGGAAATTTTAACCTAAATCAGGAAACATTGACTGGTAAAGGCTTAAAGGCATTAAATATACTGCTTGCTAATACCAAAGGCATGTCATTAAAGCCAAGCACCCTTTGTCAACTATTTGATGCATTTGTTGGCTCCGTGTTAAATTATGCGAGCGAGATATGGGGTTTTAGCAAAAGCAAAGACATTGAGAGAATTCATTTAAAATTCTGTAAGTCAATACTCTATGTTAAACAAAGTAC